GTGGCGGTGGTAGTACCCGTGGCGGTGGTAGTACCCGTGGCGGTGGTAGTACCCATGGCGGTGGTAGTACCCATGGCGGTGGTAGTACCCGTAGCTGTGGTGGGTGGACGGTTTTCGGCTTCGAGCATCTGGCGAAGTTGTTCGTCGCAGCCTGGAAGTGTATAACGATCCGGCAAGGTCTCTTGGAACAGGGCGGCGAGGAGATGTCGGAAGACCCTTGCAATGAATTCGTGCCCGGCGCCGCCCGCGCTCTCATCGCCTGGGTGTGAAAACAGAAGCCGTGCCGCTCGCGGTCCGCGACGATCGCAAGCCAACACTTGTGGCAATTTCCGCACACGCCGTCGCGCTTCTTCGATAAACGAAAGGATCTTTTCCATAATAACATACGCTCGACGCAACTCTAGTAAATATACCAGCCACGTTGCCGCCGACGTCTTCGAAGCCAGGTCTCGAGACCCCCCAGGATCGAATGCAGAAGACGAACGCCCGCTCTCCAACGTCCAAACCGTTTTCCCCGGCGGCTCTGGCTCGCCACATACTGATGGGTCCTCAATCGAAACCACCTCATCCCAGACGCCTATAACATTGCCACGGGTGTGTGGCACTCGCAGGGGTGTGTGGCACTCGCAGGGATGTGTGGCAGTCGCAGGGATGTGTGGCACTCGCAGGGGTGTGGTGTTGAATGGGTGGTAGTGGTTACCGCAAAAGTTAGCTGCACTGGCGACACGTTGCGCGACATGTTTTTTGCTCTTTGGGAAGCAGAGTTTGTCGCTAGATGTGATAGTGCGTGACATGAGGTCCCGATTGCTGCAGAGGTGGAAGAAGCGGTATAGTCGTGCGAAGATGGGTACGGTGCCGTCGATGTGGCTGAGTGTTCGTGAGAGTCCGTCATTGGTGGGGCGATGTACGGCCTTAAGGAAAATAGGGGCAGGACAAGAGCCGTAGGTGCAGGCCAAAATCATCCACACTATACCTGGCAATCCTCCCTCCTTGGCTGCCGGTAGTTTACGCGCTTTCGTCCAGTACTTGACCAATCGCAATAAAGGCCTCAATGTCGGTGTCGAGGCCAACACACGCTTGAAGTACTCCGTGTGCTTTATCGAATTCACCGTGTTCACCGACACATCGCAAACCAGCCCACTCGGCGTCGTCACTACCAACACTGGAACCCGCGCGCTATCAACTAGCTGCAGCTGCACGTTCCTGCAACACACACGTGTTTTGTGACACACACGTGTTTTGTGACACACACGTGTTTTGTGACACACACGTGTTTTGTGACACACACATACGTGGTGCGACACGTGGGCACACGTGGTGCCACACGTGAGGTCGTGGGGTCGGGGGACTTACTTCAGAGGCCAGTTTGCTGCTCTGTTGTGGAGCGCTTGGGTCATGGACAGGTAGTGGACGACGCTTTGTAAAACGTAGTTGGGCGCGCCCCAAGAGGTGAGCAGGACCACGTCTAGGTCACTGTTGCGTGCATCCACTTCGTACGCGGTGGAGCCTGCCACGGCAATGGCGATTCGGTCCTGCATGGCTTTGCGCAGGAACTCGGTGAAGCTGTTAAATAACTCACGCTTCGCTTCTCGCTCCGCACTGGTGGGTGTGACAACCTTGAGCGTAAACGTGTCCAGAGTCGCCCGCAACTGCTCCAACAACCCATGGCAAAACACGTCTGGCAACTGCTGCACTGCTGTAGTCAACGCTGCAGCTGCAGCCCGACCATCCATGTTTTAGTCAGCTGAAAACGACTACGCCCTCCCCCCATTATACACCGCCATATTCTGCCGTGTCAGGCTCTGTGCGGTGCCATATTCTGCAACGGCATGGCTGTTCGTTCCCCCGAACGTTTGTTCCCCCAAACGTTTGTTCCCCCAAACGTACGTTTGTTCCCCCGCTCCCCCTCTAAACCAAACTCGCTTTTGCCGATATCTTTCTCTCAAGACGAAAGACTTTTCCACCGCAAGACCGTAAAAGTGGATATCCAACAATACATTAAACATCCCTTATGTCTGAAGGCTGGTGTCGTCGTTGCGGTCCACCAAAGGGAGGACGTCGGAGATGAAGAAAGGGTACGGAGCATTGAGGCAACGGCATGGCTGTTCGTTCCCCCGAACGTTTGGAGCATTGAGGCGAACATCCAAGGATGTTGAAAGACGGCTATGTACCGGACGGAGGAGCGAGCTATCATCTGTATGCGAGGAGCTGAAGCTAAGAATAGCATCAACCTCAACTGGCGTCGACTAAGACGACCAGCTTTGGAATCGGCGGAATGACTCACACCATGTGTTTATAACCACACCATGTGTTTATAACCACACCATGTGTTTATAACCACACCATGTGTTTATAAACACATCCAGCACTCACTACAATTCGGTATCTTGTCTGCCATCTTGTCTGCCAACCGCGATAGCTTCGTTACTTCAATCATCCGTTCAAGTACCACTTCCGGAGAGTCGGGCCGCCGGCGAGTGGAATTCCGCCGAGTGGAATGCCGTTGAGTGGTCTATGTTACAGACTTCTTTACAGAATGAAATCTTTGTTTAAAACACTGGTGTCTTTTTGACCCTAGTGGCCCACGCCTCATGGTGATGTTGTTGAAGGCAAAACAAATATGGAGCACTGGTACGACTCGCCGCCCAGGCCATAGAGAACGTAGTATCCTTGATAAGCTTCGAGTCAGAAGCCTTGTTCCTGATATTATGGATCTGAGCGAGATGCCCGAAAATAACCTGCTGAAAGCTCAGAGACCGCGAATTGTGTGTGGCCGCATCGTTCTGTCTACTTGGTCCTTGCCAAATCGTCCTTTCACGTCATAAAGTTTAATTCAAAATGAAGGTTTCTGTTACGGTACATTCTGCTGCTGGGTTCCAGGGCCACACTGGTCTGTTCAACAAGTCGGACTTGTACGTTGAATGCCACTACGGTAC